CCAAACATTTCATGATCAAGACCACATTCAATCGATTTATTAGTATTAAATTCTTTTGGAAACCATAATTCATTATCTGATGCTAATGTTGTTGAACATTGAAATAACATTGTGATAACAATAATGGCTATATTCACATTAATTGTCATTTTTGTTTTGGTTTTACAAATTTAAAATTAAAAACTTTTTAAAAAACAATTTTCGAAAAAATTTTGCCAAGTTTTTATAATGAAAAAAAAATTCTAGAAAATTCTATCCAAAGAATTTTAATTTTCATTAATTAATTCACAAAATTATTTAATTGATTTATCTAATGACAAATTTTATTTTGAAATTAATATTGTTGGATATTTTGATTGTTTTTTTGATAATGGTTATTGTTTAGCTTTTGTATTTTCTTCATTTAACAAACATAATCATCGATCGGTAGTGTTGGAGATGGTGTTAGTAAATGTGGGTCTGATTTATCTTTCTTTTGAATAACATCCGATTATGTTGATAGTGATAATTGTTCATCATTAAATTTCATTTTCTTTTTATCTATCGTATAAACAGTTACCAAAATTGCCACAATAAGAATTCCAAAAATTATCGGTAATATTGTAAGAACAAGCTTATCAGATTTTCTTGATTCACTTGTTTTTTTCGATTTACTTGTACAAAAGAAAAATTTTTTCAAAGATTTTACATATAACGGAAATTCTTTGAGAGAATTATTTAATTGTAATAATCCTATATCGGTAATTAAAACTTTTTGATTTTTTTTCGAAATCATCAATAGTTTTCCATATGCACTAAATGACAGTACAATTGATTTCAATAATGAATCAGTTAATTCAATATTTTTTTTATTACATTTTTCATATTCTGTACGTGAAATAAAATAATTTTCATTACTAGTTAATCGAATACAAATCCAACCGGCTGAATAAAGAGCTTTGTTTGTTATTGGATCTCCTATTAATTCATAACGATTTTTATATAATTCATTATGCATTATAAATTGTTCTTCACCATTAGTTGCTAAAATGTAACGAATATCTTCACCAACAATAAATCTCATTTCTTCTATATGAG